TAAAATCCAGTTCCTGAGGAAGGGTCACCTCCTGTTTTCTCCTTCACAGATGCTGCTGAGCTTTTCCAGCAACTTTGTTTTTATTCCGGTTCCTTCTCTCTTTTCTCCTCAAAGATGTTCTTTCATTCTTTAACCAACCATTCAGTGGCCTGTCCCGGTATCTTCTCCATTTATGGTTCTATGTCAAATTTTCATTCATAATTGGTCAATGGTTAAACCTCAGTCAGCTTGCTCAGGAACAATGGCGGTGGCGAGAAAGAGAAGGAAAAATAGGATGACTGTTTACAACTCTACCCTATCTCCATGCTGACCATAGTCCAATCAGTGGGCATCCTCCCCTCATACGGTATAAATTGATGTTTTCTTCCTCCATTTGCTTTCTTGTGTTTTGATGCTGATGAGTGCAAGGTGGAAACAAATGCCGACGTCAGATCTCTTTTTAAGCAATGTAAAAATCTGTTTGCGCTCCATTGGGTAGGATTCATGGTTGTGCTCTAAACATGAAAATGTAGCCTGATGTCCAGGAGCAGCTCAGTGTTACTAATCCTGAAGGGTCACCCTGGAATCCCCAAGGATTGAAAATTGATCTCCAGGGCACTGCTTTAATCAATACCCAGGAGAAACATTGTAGGGGCATCTGAATAAAATGGAGTGTTTTTATTCATTGCCTTTGATCACCTTTGCTTCTGTTATGCACATAGAGATAATGAAGAAAGGCAGGGAAGGTTAGAGTTCAGAGGTCAAGTGTGGATCCTGTGTTTGTCTCCTTGGTGCTTGTTTTGTTGCCCAGTGTGTAGCCGGTGACAAGTGGTGATCCACAAGGGTCAGTGTTGGGACCACAACTGTTCACTTTATACATTAATGATCTAGTTGAAGGAACTGAGGGTATTCTGGCTACTTTTGCAGACGATACAAAGATAGGTGGTGGGACAGGTAGTATTGAGTAGTCAGGGAGGCTGCAGAAGGATTTGGACAGGTTAGGAGACCGGGCAAAGCAGTGGCAGATGGAGTACAATGTGGGAAAGTGTGAGGTCGTGCACTTTGGTAAGAATGAAGGCATGGACTGTTTTCTAAATGGGGAGAAAATTCAGAAATCTGAAGTACAAAGGGACTTTGGAGTTCTAGTCCAGGATTCTCTCAAGGTAAACTTGCAGGCTGAGTCAGGGGTCAGGAAGGCAAATGCAATGTTGGCATTTATTTTGAGAGGACTAGAATATAAAAGCAGGGATGTACTCCTGAGGCTTTATAAGGCCCTTGTCAAGCCACATTTGGAGTATTGTGTGCAGTCTTGGGCCCCATATCTCAGGAAGGATGTACTGGCCCTGGAGCGGGTTCAGAGGAGGTTTACGAAAATGGTCCCAGGAATGAGAAGCTTAACATATGAGGAATGTTTGAGGACTCTGGGACTATATTCATTGGAGTTTAGAAGGATGAGGGGGGATCTAATTGAAACTTACAGAATACTGAATGGCCTGGACCGAGTGGATGTTGGGAAGATGCTTCCATTGTTTAGGAGAGACTCGGTCCTGAGGGCATAGCCCTAGAGTAAAGGGAAGATCTTTAGAATGGAAATTAAGAGAAACTTCTTCACCCAGAGAGTGGTGAATCTACGAAATTCATTGCCACAAAAGGCTGTGGAGGCCTGGTCATTGAGTATATTTAAGACAGAGATAGGTTCTTGATTATCAAGGGGTCAAGGATTATGGGGAGAAAGTGGGAGAATGGGTTTGAGAAACTTATCAGCCGTAATTGAATGGCTGAGCAGACTCGATGGGCTGAATGGCCTAATTTCTGCTCCTATGTCTTATGGTCTTATGATCAATGGACATGAGGGCCAAGGCTCCTATTGGCTGGAATTATAGCTTGACCTATCAATATTTCAGCCAATCAGGAAGCTAGAATATGTGGCTTTACCTGCTAGTGTCGTATGGCGCCATGGCAACCTTTGCCACATAAAATAGTGGCAAAAAATCCAAAGTTCTATTGCAACAGCAAATCCATTTGTAGAGGGTTTCTATATTCATTCATGGGATATCGGGGCTCAGCAGCAAGACCAACATTTGTTTCCCATCCTTCATTTGTCCCTGATCTGAGTGGCTTGCTACGCTGTTTTAAGAGTCAACCACATTGCTGTGGGTCTGGAGTCATATATAGACCAGACCAAGTGACCACAGCAGATTTCCTTTATTTTTTATTCACTTGTGGGACGTGGATGTCACTGGCTGGGCCAGCATTGCTATTGCCTGTCCCTAGTTACATTTAAGAAGGTGGTGGTGAGCTGTTTTCTTGGCCATCTGCTGCAGTTTGATCCACAATGCCATTCAGGAGGGTTTTTGACCCAGCGACGCTGAAGGAACGGCAATACTTTTCCAAGTCAGATGGTGAGTGGCTTGGACGGGAACTTGCAGGTTTGTGGTGTTCCCATGTCTCTGTTGCCCTTGCCCTTCTAGATGGAAGTGCTCATGGGTTTGGAAGGTTCTGTCTAAGGATCTTTGGTGTATTTCTGCAGTGCATCTTGTAGATAGTGCACACAACTGCTACTGAGGGTCAGTGGTGGAGGGAGTGGATGCTTGTGGATGTGGTGCCAATCGAGTGAGGTGCTTTGTCCTGGATGGTGTCAAGCTTCTTGAGTGTTGTTGGGGCTGCACTCATCCAGGCAAGTGGGGAGTATTCCATTACACTGCTGACTTGTGCCTTGTAGATGGTGGACGGGCTTTGGGGAATCAGGAGGTGAGTTACTCATTGCAGTATTCCTAGCCTTTGACCTGCTCTAGTAGCCACTGTGTTTATGTGTTGAGTCCTGTTGAGTTTCTGGTCAATGGTAACCGCAATTCCTTTCCTAAAGGACATTAGTGAACCAGGTGTTTATTTTTACAAACATTGACAATGGTTCTGTGGTCACTACTGCTAAGATTAGTTTGTAATTTGAGATCTATTGCAATTAAATTCTCACGGTGAGATTTGAAACCCAACTTTAGCCGGGGCTTCTGGCTGACTGGGCTGGTGACATTGGCTCTCAGGCCAAGTGGAGGGTGGGGTTGGGGTCATGGAATGGTGTGCTGGCAGTGTTCACCTGGCAGAGATTTTTATCAAACTGCCAAACTCGGTGTTGATTCGAAGAGGCCGAGGTGACCCTTGGAAACTAACGAACCAAAATGATAGCCTCCAGCTGTGATGGAGCAGCCTGCAGTTCAGCTTGGAGAGAGAGGGACCGCTTCTCTTTTTTTGTTAACATTTCTAGTTTTTTTCAGTTTAAATATGCCCCTGAACAAGGAATGGTGCTTGGCTGACAAGGCCTCTGAGCCTGCCTGGAGTTCTGGCCTCTCGGGGTCTGCCACTGGGAGGCAGCTGGCTTAGACCCTGCAGCCTTGGGGACAGTCTTCAGGAAGTAGGCCTTACTAGGCTTTGAATCTGGCTCAGTTGGCTCCCAGGCAGTTACAGGGGCTGGGGGTGGTGAAGGGCAGGTGGCGCTGACAGTCAGACATGGGGGTTGGACTGTAAACTGCCACGCCCACCCATTTCTGCACATGCTCCCACCGGGGCTCCGAATCCCCAAGTAACTGCCCAATCAAGCAGACTCTCGCTGCACGGGGTGGAGAGAGAGGTGGGGGGGTGGCGTCTAGTTGCTTTCCTGCATTGCCCATCATCACTGTTGCATCAAGCTGGGCTGGGTTGGGGGGGTGGTTTGATTTGGTTCTGTTTGCTGGATGGCTGGTCAGTGAGTTTAGTTCCTGTACCAGCTAATGTTGATACAAAGGACACAGTGGCTCAGTGGTTAGCACCGTTGCCTCACAGTGCCAGGGCCCTCGATTCATTTCCAGCTTTGGGTGACTACCTGTGGAGTTTTCACACTCTCCCTGCATCTGTAGTTTCCTCCAGGTGCTCCAGTTTCTTCCCACAGTCCAAAGATATGCAGGTAAGGTGGATTGACCATACTAAACTGTCCATTGTCTACAGAGGTGTTCAGGCCAGAGGGGTTAGCCATGGGAAAAGAGGGGTTGTGGGTATGGGGTTGAGTCTGTGGGACAGTAAGCTATTCTACATCAGTAAGATCCCAGAGCTGAGGGCTTTCTGTTACCTGGGGAAATGCCAGGCACTGGACTTGTTCTCCTGACAGGACACAAGGTTCAACGGAAGTGGTTAAAATTATCTAAGGTTCAAATGAAGTAATTAAGGGGCATCCAGTTTCATTGCACAGGATAAAAGTCAGAGGTTACAAACTTAAGATAACAGGCAAAAAAGATAGACATTAAATGAAGAGAAGGATATTTTTATCCTGATTATTTTGACCCAGAATGAACAGTCTGAAAGATCAATGGAGGAAGATTCGATTATAATATTCAAAACAAAAGTGATATTTGCTTATTAAAATCATGGACTATGCGCAGCTCAAAGTGGGCCATTCAAATTGTTGTACCTGTACTGACCCTCTTTAGGAATAACTTGTCTAGTACCACTCCCTTGCCTTCTCCCCCTCTAACCCTGTACATTCCTCACGAATTATCCAATGCCCTCTTGAATGCCCTCAATTGAATCCGTCTCCACTGCTTTCTCAGGGACTGCATTCGAGATCCTAACCACTCGCTGAGTGAAAAATACTTTCCCTCATGTCTTTTTTGCTTCTTGTACCAACTGTCTCAAATCTGTGCCGTTTGGCTGTCAATCCTCCCACACCTGGGAACGGTTTCTCCTTTTGATCAGGAAAATTCTGCGAGGCTGCGGGATGAGCTGAATAGCTTGCTCGATGAAGCTGTTAAAAACTCGATGTTCTGAATGCCCCCCTCCAGCTTTTCTAAACTAGAGAGCTCATTTGGGGTAAAGCAGGGAGAAATGTCTTCCAAAGAGAAAAGGCACACTGTGAAAGTATGAAAAGACACAAATCCTTTCTAAAAATACAACGGCATTATAGATTTATAGCCACTGCTGCTGTCTGAAATTTGCCAACTGCACAAAACTGCTGCATTGTTTGATCTGCCATTCTTTCTGTCCGTGCTACTTACTCAAATGGGTCACTGGGATCAGCCCTCTGGAGCTCAGGTGGGATGGGAATACGTTTGTAGTACATCTCCCAGTCGAAGGCTCCCCTCATTGCGTCTCCAGCTTGCATCTCATAGCCGAAATGATTGTGGTCAATGACATCGATCATTGGACACACAATGGTCCTGCGGTCCTGAGCAATCTGGTCTGAAAGATGAAAGGGAATGCCATGGAGAGAAACATTAATCCAAGCCTCATCCATCATAATCACACTCTACCCTATCCTAGAGGATGTTGTGACATTTGCCTGCCCCACTGCACACACAACTGTTCAATGCACTGTGGACCATCATGTGGCTGGCCAGTGATTAGAAACTACTGGATTCCTTTTATAGTGGATCTCCTCTAGCGAGGCTAAACAAATCTCAGCCATCTACATCTCTGTCACTCAGGCTGACTAAACTGTCCCAAATCTGTCAAGCATTGATTACTCACAAAATATCTGTTGCACACTATTTCAAAATCCTACACTTCGCAGTATACCATGTCTCCATCTGTGCCATAGGTTGCACCACCAAACACAATGGGGGAATGCTATAACTAGAAGTTAAGGGATAACTCCATCTCAACCTTGGCATCACAGAATTGTTACAGCACAGAAAGTGGCCATTCGGCCCATTGTGTCTGCACCACCTCCCCAGGTGAGCATTTCACTTAGTGCCCTCTGCTGCCTCCTCCTGCTAACCCTACACAATGGTTTCCTTTCCAATTAACCGTCCAATTTCCTCTTTAATTCTTTGATTGAACCTCTGCCATGCTCTCAGAGCATTCCAGAATGCCACACCATAAAATATAGACAATTAAATCTGGTTTCCTCACACTGTCCAAAGTTGTGCAGGTTAGGTGATTGGCCAATGGAAATGCAGGGTTATAGGGATAAGGTAGGGGTGGAATGCTCTTCAGAGGGTCAGTGTGGACTGGATGGACTGAATGGCCTGCTTCTACACTGTATGGATTCTATGAGTATATGAATATTTAAATTGCATTGACCAACCTAAACACGTGAGCCTTTGCTTTGTGAGGAAAACAATAAGAATGAGCTGGAATCTTTAAAATGGCCACAAGTCCTTTAAGCTGAAGGTAGCTCTCTCAATAGGAATTTACAAAGGCATGCCTGAATAATGTGGCTGATAGTCTCTACCACACCCTGAAAGACTATTTGAAGCATAATCAGGGGAGGTGATGGCCTAGTGATATTATTGCTGGACTGTTAATCCAGAGACCCAGATAAAATTCTGGAATTTGGTGGAATTTGAATTCAATAAAATATCTGGAATTAAGAATCTAACGATAACCATGAATCCATTGCCAATTGTTGGAAAAACCCATCTGGTTCACTAATGTCCTTTAGGGAAGGAAACTACTATCCTTACCTGGTCTGGCCTACATGTGACCCACAGCAATGTGACTCTTAACTGCCCTCTGGGCAATTAGGTATGGGCAATATATGCTGCCTGGTCAGCGATGCCCTCATCCCATTAATGAATAAAAAAATTTACATGAACATTGGGAGGTTGATTCGCTCAGTTGGCTGAACAGCTTGGCTCTGACTCCGCGAAATAACAAAATCGTGGGTTCAATTATCACACTGGCTAAGGTTACCACGAAGAATTGTCCTTTTCAACCTCTCCCCTCACCTGAGGTGTGGTGACCCTCAGATTAAACCACCACCAGTCATCTCTTTATCGTGAGAGAGCAGCACCATGGTCTAGTAAGATGATGGCACCTTCTGTATTTTTACCTAATATTAAAATGAATCATCTGGAATATATAACTCACTATGAGGCCATGACATATTACTGGGGGATGATGCTTCTCAACTACAGCTATTACTAGAACAAAGATTATATCATTATTCAAAGAGAAAGATTGAATTCTGCCCTCCCTCCACCCTCCCCCTCACCCCCCAATCTACACCAGATCTAGCCTCTCTCATAACACAGAATCTATACAATGATCTATACAGATCTCTGACAATGGACCAGCAAACCTTAACCTGTGCATAGACTGGAATAGTAGTATGTAAGGGGCAGTGACTGACAAGCACTCTTAGATTGTGCTCAAGGGATGTTCCTATAGCAGTATGTATCCAGTCCAACAAGAATGTAGACACTGCTAAACCCAGTTCTTGGGGATAAAATGAGTGAAGTACCAAATGACAATGGAGGACCATTTTGATGACAGTGATCATTGTATCATAAGGTATGTATGATATGCATCGTATCATGTGGGCAGCACAGTAGCTCAGTGGTTAGCACTGCGGTCTCACAGTGCCAGGGACCCGGGTATGATTCTGTGATTGTCTGTGTGGAGTTTGCATGTTCTTCCTGTGTCTAATCCAGTTGCTCTGGTTTCCTCGCACTATCCAAAGATGTGTAGGTAGATTGGCCATGCTAAATATCCCTATCGTGTCCAACAACATGCAGGCTATGTGGGTTGGCCCTGGTAAATGTGGGGCTATGGGAAGAGGATGTGAGAGCTGGGTCTGGGTGGGCTGTCCTGCAGAGGGTCAATGCAGAGTTGATGGGATGAATGGCCTCTATATGCACAGTGGGGATTCTCTAAGATTTAGGAATGACAGTGGGAAATGACATTGGTCATTGGTTGGTAAGAATATTCAATAGGACAGGAACAGAGCTGGGCCAGACGGACCAGAAAAAAGTCCGACAGGAAGAACAATAGGCTACCTATAGAGGAGATCATTTGGGCACAGTCAGTGTATATTTCCTCAAAAAAGAAAGATAGGACAAACAAATCCAGAATTCCCTGGCTGAGAAAGGAGATAGAAATTAAATTAAAGAAGAAATTAGGTGTTGGGTTGTAAATAGAATGAAGAACAAAGGAGGTAGAGAAGCAAAAGAGTTTATGGAGAAAGACTGGCAGCTAATGTAAAGGGAAATCCCAAATTCTTCTATAAGCACATCGGTTGTAAAAGGTTAGTGAAAAAAGGAGTAAGGTTGATGAGGGACCAAAAGGGATTTGCAAATGGTGGCAAGAGGCATGGCTGAGGTGTTAAACAAATATTTTGCATCTATATTTACTTGCAAGGCAGATGTTACCCAAGGCCATGATGTCAGAGGGGGAAACTCAGTCAGAAGAATTTAAAATTGATAAGGAAGACATACTGAATACAGTATCAGTAATTAAAGTTTGCAACTCACTGGAACCGGATGAAATGTATCCAAGAATATTGAAGGAAGTGAGAGTGGAAATTGCAGGGGGACTGGCAATAATCTTGGCCTTGTTCAAAATAAGTTGCAAAGACAGTTTCAGCAATGACAGCTGGTTAGTTGATATTCAGTGGTGAGGAAACTTCTAGAAACAATTATTTAGGGTAAAATTAGTAGCCATATGAAAAATGTGGATTCATTTGGAGTAGTCAGCATGGATTTGTTAAGGGACAATTATGTTTCACTAACTGCTTTGAAGAGGTCAGAAGTCACACAACACCAGGTTATAGTCCAACAGGTTTACTTGAAATCACAAGCTTTTGGAGCACTGCTCACTCCACCTGATGAAGGTGCAGTGCTCAAAAAGCTTGTGATTACAAATTAACCTTTTGGACTGTAACCTGGTTCTGTGTGACTTCTGACCTTGTCCACCCCAGTCCAACACCGGCACCTCCACATCATGCTTTGAAGAGGTAACAGGGAAGGTTAATGATAGCAAGGCTGTTGATGTGGTGTACATGGACCTCCAGAAGGTGTTTTATAAAGTGCGACACAACAGCCTTGTGAAAAATGTTATAGGTCCTGGAAATAAAAGGAATCGTAGCAATTTGGACATAAAGTTGGCTGAGAGATAGGATGGATAATTGTTAATGGGCATTTTTCCAGCTGGTGGAAGGTTTGATGTACATTGCCCAGGGTTTGGTAGTGGGACTTTTGCTTCTCTTGATATATAAAAGTATGTAGATCTTGATGTGCAAGAGGAAATTACAACATTTCCAAAGGACACAAACTTGGAAGAATTATGAACTGTGAGGAGGACAGTGTAGAACTTTGTTGATGGGGTGATGAATAGGTGGCAGATGAACTTCAATTTGGAGATATGTGAGTGATACACTTGAGTACAAAGAACATAGTGAGTCAGTAAAAAATAAGTGTACTATTCTAAAGAAGAGAAAGAAATTCTAAAGAAGTTCTTCTAAGGACAGAGAAGTAGACAGTATTCTATGCTTCATTGGTAGGGAGATATATTGAACCTAGGTAGGTCACTGGTTAGACCTCAGCTGGAGTTCATTGTTTAGATGTGTGCACCAACAATTTAGGAAAGATGTGAATTCATTGGAGAGAGTGCAGTAGAGGTGATACAAGAGATATAGGCCATTCAGCTCATTTGGTCTGCTTTGCTCTTCAATGAAATCCTGGCTGAAATGATCATCCTCAACTCCACTTTCCTGCTTTTTCCCCATAACTTTTGATTCCCTTATTGATTAAAGATCTATCTATCTATCTATCTCAGGCTTGAATATACTTAATGGCCCAGCCTCAATAGCCCTCTGCCTAAAGAATTCCACAGATTGACTCTGAGAGAAGAAATTCCTCCTCATCTCAGTCTTAAATATGTGACACTTTATTCTGAGATTATGCACTTAGGTCCTAGACTCTCCAACAACACTTCCGCATCTACCCTGTCCAGTCCCTTAAGAATCTTACATGTTTATTAAGGTGTCCTTTTATTCTTATAAACTCCAATGACTACAGGCCCAACTTACTGAATCTCTCATAGGACTGTCTCTCCATACCTGGAGTCAGCCTAGTGAACCTTCTTTGGACTATCTCCAATGTCAATATATTTTTGTTAGGTAAGGTGACTAAAGATGTTCTCAGTATTCCAGCTGTGGTCTCACTAGAGCTTTATATAATTTTAGCAAGACCTCCTATTTTATATTCCGTTCGCTTTGAAATAAAGGCCAATATTCCATTTGCCTTCCTATTACTGACTGACTAGAATGCTAATGTTTTGAGATTTATGCACTTCCAAATTCCCCTGTGCTATAGCTTTCTTCAGTCTTTCTCCATTTAAAAAAAAATTCAGCTCCTCATTAGAGTCATAGAGGTTAAGAGCATGGAAACATACCCTTCGGACCAACTTGTCCATGCCACCCAGTTTTCACAATTAAACTAGTCCCATTTGCCCACGTT